ATCACTGTAATATGATGACTTTAACTCTTTTGGGAAGATTCCTAGAAGGGGAATACCTAGGTCAAATTTTAGTTTTTTGAGGAATTTCCATAGTGGTTGTACTAGTTTATATTCCCACCAACAATGTAGAAGGAGCCCTTCCCCCCGAGCCTTGCTAGCAATTGTTATTACAGGATTTCTTTTTGGTACTGGGGATCGAACATGGGTCCTTGCACTTGTGCAGCAGGCGGTGAAACCACTGAGCTAAATCCCCGGCCAGGATTTCTTGATGATAGCCATTCTTTCTGGAGTAAGATGGAATCTCAAGTGTTGTTTTGTTGTTGTTGTTTTGTTTTGTTTTTTGCAGTTCGGGGGATGGAACTCAGGACCTTGTGCTTTGCTTTCAAGGCTGCCACAGTGCCATTGAGCTAAATCCCCAGCCCTCAAGTGTTGTTTTAATTTGCACTTCTTCAATGGCGAGTGATGTTGTTCTTTATATATTTATTGGCCATTTGTACTTCTTCTGAGAAGTATGTATTCATTTCAGTTGCCTGTTTCTTGATTGGGTCCTTTATTTTGAGGGGTCTAATTTTTTTGAGTTCTTTATATAATCTAGATGTTGTTTCTCTGAGCAATAGCTGGCAAAGTTTTTCCCCATTGTGTAGGTTGTCTCTTCATTGTATTTGTTGTTTCCTTTACTGTGCTGAAGCTTTTTAATCTGATGTGATCCCATTTGTTGATTCTCAATATCATTTCCTACGCCATTGGGGTACTGTTCAGAAAGTTCTTTCCTAGGCCTAGGTCTTCAAGAGTTTTATCTATTTCATCTTGCAGCAGATTGAGTGTTTCTGTTTTAACATTTAGATCTTTGATCTACTTTTAGTTTACTACATGATGAGATATTTGGGTCTAGACTCAATCTTCTGCATATGGATATTCAATTTTCCCAGCATTACTTATTAGAGGCTGTCGGGGCTGGGGGTGTTTTTCATTCGGTGTTTGCTTTTGCCTTTTTGTCACAGATCAAATAGCTGAATGTGTCTGGTGTTGTTTCTGCTTCCTCAGTGCTGTTCCACTGATCCATAAATCTGTTTGTGGATTGGTACCATGCTTTTTTTTTAATCATCACCGTAGCCTTGTACTATAACTTCAAATGTGTGATTATGATGCCGCCTGCTTGCTATTGTCTTTTCTGAATCCACATGAATGTTTGGATTATTTTCTCTCTGTATCTGTGAGAAATGCTGTTGGTATTTTAACTGAGATTACATTAAATCTATATATCAGTTTTGGAAGTATAGCCATGTTGACTCTATTGGTTCTGCCTATCCAGGAACATGGGATATATTTCTATTTTCCGATATCCTCTTCAATCTCTTCTTTCAGAGTGATGTAATTTTCTTTTTCTTTTTTTTTTTTTGGTACCTGGGATCGAACTCGGGTCCTTGTGCTCGCACAGCAGGCGGCAAAAACACTGAGCTAAATCCCCGGCCCATGATGTAATTTTCATTGTAGAAGTTTTTCACTTCCTTGGTTAGGTTAATTTCTAAGTGTGTAATTTTCCTTGTAGAAGTTTTTTACTTCCTTGGTTAGGTTAATTTCTAAGTGTGTAATTTTCCTTGATACTACTGTGAATGGTATTGTTTTCCTGATTTTTTTCTCAGTTCCTTATTAGTGTGTGAGAATGGTATTGATTTTTGTGTGTTCATTTTATATCCTGCTACACTTCTGAATTTAGTTATTAATTCTAGGGGTCTTTCAGTTGAATCTTTTGGGTCTTGTAAGTAGAGGATCATGTTATCTGCAAATAATGACACTCTGTGACTTCTTCTTTACCTTTTCTTTCTTTCTCTTGCCTGATTGCTCTGGCTAATGTTTCAAGGACTGTGTTAAACAGGAGTGGTGCTAATGGACATCCTTGTCTTCTTCCAGATTTAGAGTGAAAGCTTTCAATTTTTCCCTACTTGATGTGATGTTGGTGGTACTTTTGTCATAAATGGCTTTTATCAGATTGAGATAAGGTCTCTCTATACCTACTTTCTTCAGGGTTTTTATCATGAATAGATGTTGGCTTCTGTCAAAGGCTTTTGCTGCATCTATTGAGATGATCCTGTAATTTTTGCCCTTGCTTCTATTTATGTGGTATATTACATTTATTGATTTGCATATGTTAAGCCATCCTTGCATCCCTGAGATGAATGAATCCTACTTGGTCATGGTGTATGATCTTTTTGATGATTTGTTGCATTCTGTTTGCTAGTATCTTGCTGGGGACTTTTTGTATCTATGTTCATTACAGAAATTGGCCTATACCTCTCTTTTTTGGTTGGATCCTTGTCCAGTTTTTCAGTCAGGGTAATGCTAGCTTCCAGGAATGACTTTAGGAGTACTCTCTCCCTTTCAGTTTCATTAAATAGGAGTACTGGCATTAGATCTTCCCTGACTTTATAGAATTCAGTGGTGAATCCATCTGTTCCTGGATGGATTCTTAGTTGATATGTTTTTTATTACTGCTTCAATTTCATTACCTGTTATTTGATTATTTCGGAGTTTTATGTCCTCTTGGTTCAGTTTTAGTAATTCATACGTATCTAAGAGTCTCTGCATTTCTTCTGAGTTCTCCAATTTATTGGTGTACAAGTTTGAAGTAGTAGGAAGAATACTCTGGGTTTCAGCAGGGTCCATTGTGACCTCACCTTTTTCATTTCTAATTGGATTGATTGGGTTTTGGTAAGATTTGCTGAGGGTTTGTCTGTTTATTCTTTCAAAGAGCCAGCTCTTGGGTTCATTGATTTTTTTTTTGTACCCATTTCATTGATTTCTGCTGTGATTTTGCACTAGCTCTGGGTTTGGATTGTTCTTGTCTCTGTAGGACTTTGAGGTGCACATTGTGTTATTTTTCTGAGCTCTTTCTGTTAAGAAAGCATTTAACCAGCTCTTGGAAGTTGCCTCGGGGGAGGATAGAATGATACATTGAGAGGCAGCCTGTGAGTAAACTTGACCTTACGGTAATACAGTTTTGATAGTAACTTTATAATTCCATATGCATCTTACATGCATTTCTGTGTGTATCAAATACTGTTAGAAAATTTCACAGAGGAAACATGAAGCAAGCAGTGCACTGTTTAAGTGTCTTCAGTGCTGTTGAGAAATGACCATTGTTTTTTGGCAGCAGGAAGATCATTAGTATGAGGGAAAGGAATGGTTTCAGTGCAGTGGTGAGTCTAGAAAAAACCAGGCCATGTAGACAATGAATATAAACAACTTCCAGGTTTTGTTTGTTTTTTTCAAGGTTAAAATTATGGAACTGCTGTTGTATGTTTTCAGGACTGGTTCAGAAAGGGAAGTTTCCTGCCTGAAGTAGGAGTAACCTTTGGTGTCCCTCTTTTTTTTTTTTTTTTGGTACCGGGGATCGAACTTGGGCCCTTGCGCTTGGTCCCTCTCTTTTGCTCTTTTCCCACATTCAATCGATCACCAAGTTACAATTGTTGACTCTAATTTAAAAATATAGCGCTGACTCCACCTACGTACTTTCCATTTGGACATGGGCTGTGCTGAGTGTGGATCCCAGGGTGGTCTCCGTGGCTGTCTTCAGTGGTCTCCGCTACGCCACACTTTTCCAAACCAGCAATCTTCTCCCACAGCGCCGGGAGCACACTTCCACAAATACCAGTCAGATTGTCAGCTCCTGTGCAGAAAGCTCCCAGTGCTGGCTCCCTCCCACTTGGGAATTAAAATCTAAACTCTTTCCCTAGCCTACAAGGGCTGTACAGGATTGGACTTCTTTGTGTATCTTTTTGTGTGTGTGTGCGTGTATCTTTGACCTTGTAACACATCCCTCTTTCAAAAGATTTGTCTGTGCCTGCCTTCCAAGCACAAGGTCCTGAGTTCGATCCCTGGTACCAAACTAAAGATTTGAGTCATAACAGGTTTTTAGTTCCTTGAACTGTTCTCTGCCTCAAAATCTTTTGTTTTTTTTAAAAAAAATTTTTTTAAAAATTGGGGCATATTTGCAGTACATGATTAAATCCATCATGGGGAGTTGGTACATGTACATACCACATCTTCATTCTTTTATGTCCCCTTCTCTCTGTACCTCCCCTCACCCTCTGTCCTTTTGCCTTTGCATTTGGTATTCCTTCGACCTGAAATACTTCCTTTAGCTTTGACGATAAGGCTGACTCCTTTTTAGAATTAAATCTTTAGCTGAGTGTGGTGGCACACATCTGAAATTCCAGCGTTTGGGAGGCTGAGGCAGGAGGATTGCCACCAGTGACGCCAGTATAGAAGAGTTGCTATCTCAAAAACAACAACAACAAAGAATCAAATCTTAACTTGGGTCACCTCCTCAGACAAGCTTCCCTAACCACTGTAATGGAGTTTTTCATTATGGTATCTTGTCTTAGTTTCTTTCTTAGTTGTCTTCTGAAACTATAATATTTACCTGCTTTCTTACTTACATGGTTATTGTCAGTCTTCCCCACTAATAAAGCTCTACAACAGCAAGTAAACATCATTTCCTTGAATTATAAATACCCTCTTTTTGAGCCGGGGATTTAGCTCAGTGGTGCCATTACCTGCCTCGCAAGTGCAAGGTCCTGAGTTTGATCCCTGGTACCAAAAAAAAAAAGTATATATTATACTCTCTCTCTGTCTCCCCCCCCCATCAGAAATAAAACTGTCCCTAGTACTGCAAAAAGAAGGGGAGGGAAAAAGAGACAAGGAGAAAAGAAAAAAAACAACAACAAAACCACACAATATAAGCATAGTTTATTTTTCAGAATCTGAATACAAATTTGTGCATGCTATATATGTAGCTGATTTATGAAGCTAGAATTTAAGTGAAAACTAAATCTTATCATTAAAACAGTTTTTAGTGCCTATTATACAGTCAGTTTGTAAAGTTTATTTTAAGAATTTGGCTGTAAAATTCATATCCAGGATTTAAAAAGTGAAATAACACTTCTTTTAAATGCTAAAAAATAGTATATTAAACAACCACATTTTTTCTTTTTTCCCAGGACATTATTGCTGGCTTCCTATACACCATTTTAATCTTGGCTGTCTTCTATCCGTTTGTGGACCTGATTGACAACTTCAACCAAACTCACAAATATGCTCCATTGATCATCATTGGGCTCCATTTAGCTTTGGGGATCTTTTCTTTCACTCTGGACACCTGGAGCACATCCCGAGGAGACACAGCTCAGATTCTAGGAAGTGGTGCTGGAATTGCATGTGGATCTCATGTTACTCACAGCATGGCTCTAATATTAGATCCTTCTCCAGACATTTTACCTCTGCGTACCCCTCCCATTACTCTGACTGTCTTTGCAAAAGCCATATTGCGGGTCCTCATAGGAATGGGAGTTGTACTCATAGTTAGAAATATAATGAAAAAGATCACCATTCCTTTGGCCTGTAAAATCTTTAAAATACCTTGTGATGATATTCGAAAAGCAAGACAGCACATGGAAGTTGAACTTCCTTATCGATATATTACCTATGGAATGGTTGGTTTCTCTACCACATTTTTAGTTCCCTACATATTTTTGTTTATTGGTATCTCTTGATGGGGAAATACTATTTATAATAAGAAAGGAGACTATCAGTTACTGACACCTAAAAATACACTAAAAATAAAAGGTCAGAGTTAGGCTTTGGCAAGTAAATTCTTAAGAGTCAGTACATTTTATCATTGCACATCCAGGCATTGTTTTAGGTGGGCTGATCTATTTAACACTGAGAAAATGCTAAGTTTCCATTTAGAATGTTCATATGTTTGGAGAGTTTTGTGCTTTCATGGATTCAAGTTATATATATAATATATATTAAGGTACATAATATGCAATCATATATCTAATATATGTTATATATAAAATAATATACCTAAGTTTTTTTAGACAGTAGGGTGTGTATTATAAAATCAAGAATAATATGCAAACAATTGTGCCTGTGTATTTGGAAGTAATACAGGTATGTTGTTCCTAACAAATAATGTTTAGGGCCGGGGATTTAGCTCAGTGGTTCTGCTGCCTCCCTCGCAAGCGCAAGGACCTGAGTTTGATCCCCAGTACCAAAAAGAAAAAGAAACAAACCCTGACCCTAGCACCAGCTGTGTGACGTGGGGTGGTCACTTCTTAACTTCTTGGGCTGAGGACTTAGCTCAGTGGTTCTGCCACCTGCCTTGCAAGTGCAAGGTCCCGAGTTTGATCCTCGGTACCAAAAACACAACAAATAATGTTTAGCATTTATTTGCTATGGGAGTCATGACCTAACTGAACTGCATAATTGCTACACCAGAACTCTTAGGCTACCACATACTGATTTACTGCCTCTTTTTACACTGCCACCACCTTTCACGTTACCCATGAGGCTGAACATGGGGAGCAGTTTCACTGGACCAAACTGGGATTTGTTTTTGGAGTCCTTGTTTTTTTAAGTTCTGTACACTGTATTGAATGTACTTCTTTTGCAACTGTTTTGGGCATAAGTTTAATAAATCAGGTACTGAATTTTATTGCTTGCTAATTGTGCCTTTCTGTTGCTGACTTAAACACCATGTATACTGTGATGTAAAAGTAAGACTCTAAGTTGCATATACCTAGGCAAATATTTTTAAAATATATGTCAAACTAACAGGGATCGAAGTAAACCACCAGTATGTAACTCTTTAGTCTTTCTTTAGAAAGAAATTGAACTGGGCTAAAATTTCTCACTAATTTATTGGAAAGCTAAATAGATAAATACTTCCATTTTTGTAGGTATTTTTCTGTGTACTGTTAAGTTATAGGAACAAGATGTATTTTTGTACATTGTCTTGATTGTTTATACTACAAGTAGATGTTTCCAGTGCATGGGAAAGGGTGTTGGAGTTTATAGATGGAACAGTGCACATGGTTCCTTATGTAAACAAACTGTTTCTCTACATTACTTGGAAAGGATTGGATTTCCCACAATTAACTTTTAATACCTACTTACCAGCTGTAAAAGATGATAAATTGTAAAAAAAAAAATCTAAAAGTAGCATTAGTAGTTTAGATCCTTTTTTTTTCCAACTTTTTATTTTCACAGTGGAAAATTTGAGTATAGTGTGTATAGTATTGAACTATTCTTTTTTCTTTGTGTGCCTTTATATTTTGAAGTGTGATTGTAATTAGTTTAACGTTAAGTTTATTTGTAGTAAACTTGTCATAAAGAAGAAAATTGCCAGGTGTGGTGGTGCATGCCTGTAATCCCAGCATTCAGGAGGCTGAGACTGGAAGGTGGCGGTGAGTTTGAGGCCAGCCTCATCTGCATAGTGAGTTCAAGGTCAGCCTGGATTACTGAATTAAATAGTGAGACTTTGTCTCAAGAAAAGAAAAGAAAATTAACTTTCCATATAAATGAATATCAAGTATGAGATTACTGACTTTAGTGCAATATCTATATGGTTATCCAAAGTAGCAATTAAGATGTTTCTATTTTGGACAACAATTATTTGAGCTCATATTTTTATAATCCTGATTGAAAATTTAAGGGCATGGTAATTTTTACCAAAACTGAATCTGATAATTTTAAGTAAAGCAACTGAGTTTGGGCTGTTTACTTATTAGTTGAAAAGAAACCAGGGCACCTAGAAACTTGTCTCGGTACATTGGAAAATGTGACAACTTTTTGTTCAAAATGTGTAGTTAATGAATTGAATTTTAAGAATTGTTTCCCGAAATCTGGGTCTGTGCTAGCCTATTGATTTTTGTCTAGCTTAAAAAGTACTTGAAAATACTATTTCTTGGTGTTTTGTTACTTCCTGTCCTATGACAGTTCTATGCTAAATGTATTTTAAAATAAAAGTCAGATTCAAGATTGAAGGGTTTTTGTTTTGTTTTGTGTGTCTTCTATGTGTTTGTCTCTAAATTATCTGATAGAGAGTTCTGAAATGCATGTAAGATTTTTGTCTTGGCAGACTTCCTCTGAGCCATTTTATTCAAATCAGAGTAATGGGGCCAGGGATTTGGGTCAGTGGTTCCGCCGCCTGCCTCGCAAGCACAAGGTCTTGACTGAATTCAATCCCTGGTACCCCCCCAAAAAGAAGATATTGAAGAATTGAAGAAATTCCTTTTTTTGTTTTTTGCAGTACTATTAAAGAAATTCTTTGATTCAGTTTGAGAGTCCTGAGGATTTAGCTCAGTGGTGCCACGCCTGCCAAACACAAGGTCCTGAGTTCAGTTCCCAGTACCAGAAAAAACAAAAGGACACCAAAACCCAAAAAGATTCAGCCTGAGTTTTTGCTCCATTTATGATCATTTCTATCACTCTACTTAATGTGCTTTTAGTGAAAAGTTTTGTAATATTTCTTAGAAAAAAGTTTGAGTTTGAGACCAGCCCTGGGGTACATGAGTTCAAGGACAGCCTGAACTACATAGTGAGATCCTGTCTCAAAAAAGCAAAAATTTTTTTTAACTTTTTCTGCAAATATTTAAAGGTTATGGTTTAGATTCTTACAAAGTTTTATACATAATTATTACAATACCCTGTGGTATAGAGTAGGATTTGTATCTAAATTAGTTTTGAGATTTGTTTTTCCCAAGACAGGATCTTACTAGGTAGCCCAGACTGGCCTTGAACTTGTGATCTTCCTGCTTCAGCCTCCCAAGTTCTGGTGGACAGTGTTATTTTTGCTCATTTCTGAATGAAATTGAGTAACAGTCTTAATATAAATTAAGAGACTGGAAGCCAGGTGCAGTGGCACAGGCCTGTAATCCCAGAACTCTGGAAGACTGGGGCCGGAAGATTGTAAGTTCAAACCCAGCCTGGGCAACTCAGCGGCTTAGTGAGACCCTGTCTCAAAATCAAATAAAAAGGGCTAGATATGTAGTTAAGTGCAAGGCCCTGGGTTCAACCCCCTGTACCGAATAGAAAAAGAAAACAAAGCAGAGATACAATCCCTCAACATTCTCCACTCTGCAAAATATTTGAAATAGCTTTACAGATTTTACAGATAGATACTTAAAAGTACTTATTTCCAGCCGGGCGTGGTGGCGTGGGGCTGCATGCCTGTAATCCCAGCACTCGGGAGGCTGAGGCTGGGGCTGGGGCTGGGGCTGGGGCAGGAGGATTGCTGTGAGTTTGAAGCCAGCCTGAGCTACACAGGCCCTGTCTCAAAACCCCCCCAAAAACAAAAATTTGCTTCTTGGAAGTACATTCTCAAAATCTTATTTATTCAAGGACATGGTGTAAATTTTTTACCTTAATATGTAACTTGATTTATAGTTATCAACTGATTATAAATTGAAACCCAACATTTACATGTGAAAATTTTTCTGCCTTTTATAAAAAATATTTTTCTTTTCCTGCACTAAGCTACATCCTCAGCACTGCTCACTTAGCTCGTGGATGAAATCCACCAACTTGAAAGGGATCAAAACTATTATTTGTTTGGCTTTTTTTTTGGTGTTTTTGAGACAAGGTCTCACTATGTAGTGCAGGCTGGGCTCGAACTCACTGAGGTGATCCTCCTGTCCCAGCCTCCAGAGTGCTGGGATTATAGACGTTCACCACCATGCCTGGCTCAAAACTGTTATTTAACTGATGTTTAATTGTTTTTTTAGTCTGTGGTAATGAAGAGAATTATGTGTTTTAAGTTGTTTACTTATGAAGAGGAAAATAATGTAATTTTATATACAAAGCAGCCTGAGCCCTTCAATTTTAGTGAAATCAGAACTTTAGGGAGTTAGGGAATTTCGAGTGTGAAGGAGACTCTCCCCACCTTTTAAGAGGGTTGTGTAAGAAATTAATGAAGCAGTTAGAAGCCCATGCAGAACCACACCACTGAGGTGACAAAGGGCAGTGCAGACCAGGGCCATGGCCTTTCTGTCTCCAGGGAAGACTTCCGAGAGTCTCCCTCTGGGCTTCCCAGGCAGCTCTGGGAATAAAGCTGGAGCTAATGAATTGATGTTCACCCCATCATAATTAAAGGACTGAAATTTCTTCTGTGGACTGATAACAGAAGCAGCCACACATCTGTCTCATCCCAGCTGCTGGGGACCTGAAGTGGTGGCGTAGGCGTGGGTGGACTTGGGATACCTAGGTATGTCTGTGGGCATCAGTCATGCTCAGCACACCTGTAACCACGTATTTTTTTCTGATTTAATGTTATTGTCTGAAAAGGCTTTCTTTCATCTTCCTCATTAGGTTGTCTACTACCTAGGAAAATGGACATGATGACCACATTGTCTTACATTTACCTTATAACCACCCCACAAACAAGTTAGTAGCTATTGAAGATCTAAGATAGCAGTTCCGCAAGCATCAGTCACCTGAAATTCCAAGTCCAGAGACAACTTTGGTGACTTTTCTATGAGATGGTTTCACAGGTAAGGAGGAAAATGTACAGGCTTCTGCCTTTGGGGGTTGTAAGGTGTTCCGTGTCCCATGTTACATGATGTTTTCGCCTTGTTACCTCTGTCATAAAGCTGGCTTCAGATTGTGGACTTGCAAATAGTGGCTTTTCCCAAATCTTGATCCTACCACTTTACAGACCTCTTTTGCCCATTCTTGTTTAAAGTTTTGCATGTAAGTTCCTTCTGCTTGAAAATACGGGTGCCAAAAAAAAAAAAAAAAAAAAAAAAAGGGAAGAAAAGAAAATACAGGTGCCAAAATGGGTTGCTGGTTTTTGTGGGTTTTTTTGGTACTGGGGATTGAACTCAGGTCCTTGCGCTTGTGCAGCAGGCGGTAAAACCACTGAGCTAAATCCCCGGCCCTGTCTGAAATATTTTTTATGAGTTCTTGCATAAAACTTGGGGACAAAAAAAAATGTAATATACTATTATAAACAGAGCCAGGAACAAAAACTCTATGACCCTTTCAACAGATGCTGAAAAAGCGTGTGATAAGGTCCCACACCCATTCATGATAAAAAAACCCTACAGAAAATTTCTCAATCTGATAAAATCAGATTAAAAAAATAAAGAAAGAAAAGGAATAAGGATAGGAAAGGAAGAAGTTGGGCCAGGGACTTAGCTCAGTGGTTCCGGCGCCTGCCTCGAAAGTGCAAGGTCCAGAGTTTGCTTCCCGATACCAAAAAAAAAAAGACAGGAAAGGAAGAAGTTAAATTTAAATCATTATTTGCTGATGACATGATACTCTACATAGCCCCAAAACTCCACCAAAAGACTCCTAGATTTGATAACCAAATTCAGTGGCATAGCTGGATACAAAGTCAACACTCAAAAATCAATAGCCCTCCTGTATATGAATAACAGACTCATAGAGAAATTAAAGAAACAATCCCTTTCACAATAGCACCCCCAAAAATGAAATATGTAGGAATCAATCTAATGAAGAAAGTAAAAGATCTCTATGTTGAAAACTACAGAACTCTGAAAAAGGAGATTGAAGAGGATATCAGAAAATGGAAAGACATCCTTTGTTCTTGGATAAGAAAAACCAATATAGTGAAAATGGCCTTACTTCCAAAATTGTTACACAGATTCAATGCAAACCCGATCAAAATCCCAACAGCAGGGCTGGGCATTTAACTCAGTGGTTCCACTGCCTGCCTCACAGGCACAAGGTCCTGAGTTCGATCCCCAGTACTAAAAAAAAAAAAAAAAATCCCAACGTCATATCTCACAGAATTAGAGAAAACAATCCTAAAATTCATTTGGAACCAGAAGAGACCTAGAATAGCAAAGGCAATCCTGGGCAACAAAGGCAAGGCAGGAGGCATCACAATCCCTGAGTTGAAATTATACTACAAAGCTACTGTGATAAAAACAGCATGGTACTGGCAAAAGAACAAAGCTGAGGATCAGTGGAATGGACTAGAGGATGCAGAAACAACTCCAGACATACTCAGCCACCTAATCTTTGACAAAGGAACCAAACACCTCTACTGGAAGAAAGCCTCTTTAATAAATGATGCTGGAAAAACTGGCTTTCCACATGCCAAAGATTGAAACTAGACCCATATCTGTCACCAAGCACTGACCTAAAATCAGAATGGATCAAAGATCTAAATATTAAAATTGAAACACTAAGCCTGCTGGAAGAGAGAATACGTAGAACGCTTGAGGACACAGGAGTAGGCAAAGACTTCATAAACAAAACCCAGATGGCATGGGAATTACTACAAAGAATCAACAACTGGGACCTCATCTTATTAATAAGCTTTTGAACTGTAAGAGAAACCACCAACAGAGTGAAGAGAAAACCCACAGTGTGGGAAAAATTTTTTACCAGCTATTCAGGTAAAGGACTATTATCTCGAATACATAAAGAACTCAAGGGCCGGGATTTAGCTCAGTGGTTCTGCCACCTGCCTTGCAAGCATAAGGACTCGAGTTCAATCTCTGGTACAAAAAAAAAAAAAA